CCGCGCCCTTTAGCTGTTACGTGCGGGATTTGTGTGAGTAGGGTAGGACTGGGTTTCCTGTGAAGGGCTCTGCAGCGCAGTGTCGCTTACCCGCCCGGGGCTGCCCTGCGCCCGAGTCAGGTTGGCTTGAGGAAACGTTGTGGTTGTGTTCATCTTAAACACCGATTCCTGTCTCTGTTTTAGGTCTGAAAGTTCTGGAGAGGAAGTTCCAATGACTGAAAAAAAAGGCCCTTTTACTAGTTTTCATCTTTGATTCACCTCTAGCTGCTATGCAGAAAGGGTTCTCCAGCAAGCTGGGGCTGCTCACGCCTATGAACACGTAGGTGCCTTCAGCAATAATGGATAGAAGAGGCTTCAGGCCTTAGTGGTCATTATCCATGTATATCCCACTAGAGACAAGTTTCACTTCTATAAACCTTTAATGCAAAGTAGAATTTTATTCAGCCTAGTTATGTGTCCTATCCTTCAAAGTAAACTCAGCTTAATTCAATAGGACACAATGATGCTCAACATTTCTCGGGCACTTTGTACGGTCAGACATTGTACTTGTGGAATTGCCTCCCCAAAAGTTACCCAAGATGGTAGCTTACATTTAGGAATCCACAAAGGCTAAGATTTTGGGATGTGGAGCGTAATATGTTATTCTTTAACTTGTGAGTATTATCTAAAGTGTGCCAAGGAACTAAAGTGATAGACATTTTAGAAATATATGTAATAGATTGGTCTCAGATCAAGTGCTTTTAAAAATTGGAAAATAGGGGCCTCTACTGTATTCAGATTCTCAAGGGAGAAGTAAATAAATTACATGATTCTGTGATGAAATAATTTTGAGCAAAGTTCTACTGAGTTGACTTAAGATACTACATTTCAGTTGCAGATAGAAAAATTATGAACATGACTTTATATTCTGGAATGTATTTATGGTTTTCCTAAGGCCATTTTGCATTTTTAGTTGCTGCAGAGCAGGATCTTTCAGCTTTAATCTTGAATTTGGAGATTTATGCATTGTTTGCATTGCTGAATAGTAACTGTTTTGAAATAATTACACTGTGTGCTTTCTTGTGCATGCCTCTGCAGAAGGACAGCAGCAATGTTCTCCCAGAAGAAGCATTTAGAGTCTGGACAAACATCTGTTGTTGCCTTCTTCTAATACGTGATGTGCAATTTTCTTGAAAATACCTCTTAGAGGCAGCCTCACTTCTGTGTGAGAAGCAGAAAATTTCAGAGCACTGGAGTTGAGTCAGCTCCTGCAGACTTGCAGGTAGTCTGAGCCTAGAAAAGACTGAAGGAGAGACGTAATACTAGTCTTCAAATACTTCATAAAAGGCTGTTGCAGTTCTGCTGTGGAGAACGTATCACGTAAGAGGCAGCGTGGCTTAAACTGCACTGAAGGAAGATTCAAGGTGAAAAGTTGAGAACTTCTTAAGGAGTCATCAGGGTAAAGCTGTGGCATAGTTAGCTGGGGGTTTCAGCACAGGCTGGGAGATAGGAGATTGCAGGGAAGAGGCATGTGCACCTTTGCACTTCCACATGCCCGCCTCCCGCGTGGAAGACGTTAGTCGGATGTAAGCTGCCAAGAAGTAGTAAAGGGCTTATTCAGAAAGGCAGGAGACAAAGCAGCAAGTGACTCAACGACGCTACTCATGAGCACAATCTGCCAGGGTTGCCGCAGATGGGAATGGAAAAATTATTTCCATCTGCAATACTGATAAAGCCTGCGATTTTCGTGCCAAACAAGAGCATCGCTCTTGTCCTAAGATCTTTCTCTGTTACTTGCAGGCGCACAGAGTGCGCTTTGGAGTGACTGTACTGAACCAAGGTTTAATAACACCGAGCCTGGCTGAGTGCTTTCAATGTCTTTGCAATTTTCCATTCCTCACTTGGGAAAGTATACCTTATAAAATGCTAAATATACCTTATAAAAAGCAAAGTATGTTTTACATTGCCTTTCTTTTCTGTATTTGATGTTTCCATAAACATACCTCCATCACACTATTTTTATTTGAAACTGCTGCAGTCCCACAGTGACTTGCTTAGGACTGGCGAGACGCTTCCACTCTGCGTGCGTGCGTGCAGGGGTGAAAGAGCTTTCTGTTCTCCGGGTTCTGGTTTGGACTCCGGTATGGGGGAAGGAAGCTCGCTCTCACTAGAGCCCTGGTTAAGGACCACGGACTCCTCTGTGCCTTTTGTCTGTGTTACACATAATCGGTGGCTTTGCTGGAAAAAGTCCATCTGGCACTCGGAGGTACTTGGGAAAGGTACTTGGAGCATTGTCAGGATTCTGCTTCTTTCCAGAGGTTTGTTTTTAAATAATTGTGCCAGACACCCTTCATTTGCTGCAGCTTTGAGCAGTGTTCCCAGAGTGACCCCTCTCAGCATCGCTTTGATATACATCTGTGTATCTTCACATCATCACGGCTGTTGTTGAGGCAGGACTAAGCGGTCTCCTCTTCCCAGATTGCAAAGCCCGTGACCTCTGCATGGCTCCGTACAAACGCAGGAGACGCGACTGCTGTAACGTTGCTGGAGTGCAGGGTGTGCGGTTCCAGGAGTGCATAGTCACACATTGGGGCCCCGTGGCTGCCTGCCAGCCTTCCAACAAGGAGGTAACATCCAGGCAATTTGTGTTCAGAGTGGCACGGTACGCGCTGTTCAGATGCAAAGCGATGTGGGAAAATGGAGGAGAGAAGTTTGATTATATAGGTGCATCTGCATGGCCATTAACCATTAATTTATCCCCAGGTGAACTTTGTTCTCTCAATTTCAAAATAGCTGGTTAGTTAAGTTAGAGGGATCATTTTATTGTGTGACCCTGAGGAATCTTAATTTGAAGAAATGTGAGTTACTGTGAAATTATCCTCACACTCAAAATACAAAGTTCTCTGTGACAAGTGGAGACAATCTTGTAACTGCAAAGTTCTTCCAAATTATATTTCGAAATGTACAGTACGTAGCTGCAAAACTGTCATGATGTTCTTACAGGGCAGGAAAATCACAAAGAAATTCAGGGACAGATGTGCCATCTGTTGCTCTAAAGTCCCCAATGGTGAATTTTCAAATCCACTGATCAAGGGAAGAGAGTTTATCTTCTTTAGTACTTACAGTTTCATAAGAAAGGCTCTACCCTTTAGCAAGCAGGTCATCAAGCCGACCTTTCATTATTCCAGGATCGAAAACTTCTCTCAATGTTCCTTCAGTTTCCTAGAGCCCTCATCTTTGCCTAATGATATGTATATTCTTTTTTCCACTAAATTCCATCCGCTTTATATATTTTTTCATTATACCTCAACATACTGTAACTCGATTAGCTCTTTTTTTTTTTTTCCTGTGCATTCTTGATAAGACATGCCAGGTTAGTTTTGGGTCTTGGACTCACTGGAGGTCTCAGGTGCAGTAAGAAATGGGTTGCAGCTAGGAACTGAGCTGCCTTGGTGGCACTAATCCATCGATGTGGGGGGCATGAGCTTACCTGCCATGGAGCACGATGCGGAAGTTAGCTGCCTGGACCTTTATTTTAAGGATTGTGAACAGCTCTTCAACAGACATGTTGGTTTGACTGATGCGATTTGGTATGACATTTTGAAGGGGGTCAGGGTGGGTATGTTTCCTTTTGAAAACAGGACTTCAGGATCAATACATCTCTGCAGTTAGTAGAGTGGTGCTGGTAGTTAATAAATTAATCCTAGCATTAAAAGTCTTCTCCCAAGGTGTTTGTCCATCTATGCAACTCTCATATCTTTCAAGGGTACAATCTTATTTTGACAAGCTGAGGTATTTTATATTTGAAGGTCAGGATCAAGCTGAAAGCTGTCTGTGCTTATAATCCCACCTTTGTTATTTCAGTAACTGCTGGAGTTTAAAAAAAAAAGAGCATTACCATTTTATTCCATGTGTAAGACTGAATCCTGGGGAAATATAGAGTGCTACACTGACAGCCCAGTTGTAGGTAATTTTTCCTTTTTTTATGGAAGAAGAGATTTTTTTTTTTTTTTTTCCTTTTTTTTTTTTTTTTTTTGCATGGAGGTAATGTTACAAACTAAACCAATTTAATAGCTGCACTGCCTCGTGAAATAGAAGGGGAAGCATTCTTGAATTTGTTTCTGTGAATGAAACATCAAAACATACCCTGGTTTGAGTTTGCTATTATTTTGTTCAGCTTTAATTTAGCAGTAAGAGCTGCTTGATTTTGGGGAGTGCCATATGGCGTCTGTTTATAAAACACTTAACTACTCTTTCTGTACAAATTCCAATGTGCTTTAATTGTCTTCACTGGACTGCCTACATCACCTGTAATGGCTAGTCATTCTGTCATCTCAAACCTGGCTGTACTCATTAGTTTATCTAAACCTTTCTGCTTATTTTGTCATGAATGCTTTTAATTCTGAACCTTTTTTTTCTTGGCATTTTGAAAAGTTGAGGTCAGATTTGCTAATTTCTGTTTGAGTGTCTAGTGCAATCAGATCCTGATAAGAACTCCCGTGTGTAACAACAGTAATGGTCTGTATGCTGTTAAAGGAAAAAAAAATCATGCATTTAAAATAACAATGGCTTTGCGGCTGTTGGTCAGGTCTACTCTGGAGACATTGAAGAGCAGGATTCAGCTCCAGATGAAGACAACTGCATTTAGGTGCCTATAAATAGTTATCTAGATGTGTACGAAGTGCCTAAGCAACCATTACTGTCAATGGAAATAGGGGTGGCATGCAGATGCCTAAACATAAGTGTCTGGTGCCATTTTATGGCCCTCAGGGTATCAATCTCAATTCCATTTTCTCCTCCAGAAAGGCACCAAGCTTCTGTAAATCCTCTGTTATATCTGCAAAGCCATGCAGATGCCTTGGGTACCCCAGAGCATCCTAAAAGGCACTGAATGCCAATGCTTAAGCAATGGCACCCTGCATATATGGAAAATATATCAGCTGGGTTGCGGACGCAGCAAGGGTAGAAAAGGGGGAGGGGGAGCTGGCAAAAAACATGAGGGCATTGGTTATTTCTGCGAAGAGCAGGCCTGTTGCTGCTGTAGGTTCACCCATAAAACCAAGTCAGCAAACCTCCTTTGATGGAGATGCAGTCCCTGTCTCTGCTAGGACAGCTTTATCAGTGCAGAAGTGCCTACACAAAGTATGGCCCCCTCTGTTCTGGGCGCATGTTGATGCTGGGAGAGCCAGGAGGAGAGGAGGGCACAGCTCGCCCTCGGGCACTGCCTGCACCAGGGTTTTGTCTGGAGTGGCTTCCTAAGGCACAAGGCATGCCTGAAGTTACCTCATCTCACGCTGCCATCACGCGCGGGTTGACCCCAATGTGCAGCAGCTACTTGCGAGTCCTGCAATGCCCCAAACTGGGTCTGGGGAAAGAAACTTGAGATTTTCACTGTCTTTCACCTGTCTTGAGGCAAAAACGCCAAGGGCACCAAGGGGGCTTTGGGCCATGGAGTGCTGTTACCCATCGAGCAACCCTTAGTTTTCCCACACTTTTCTTCCACAACTGAATGGCTTTCAAGACACTTGCTGGAGCTTCACAGCATTGAAAAATATGGAGGGAAGGCAAAAGTGGAGTGAGACGTTTGTTCTGGTGCTGACGGAACAAGGCTGTTGGCAGCCTCACGCAGGCTCTTCGGGAAGTGGGTCAGTGGCAAACCCTTTGCTTATGCACCAGCTTAATTATTTAGTTGCCTGAAGCAGACCAGTGTTAAGTCTCAGGATACGTGTGTCAGGCATGAGGCAGAAACAAAGCTCATGGCTCCAGACATAGCAAAGTACGTCCACATTGCTTCAAGGCGCCTTTCTGGAACAGCAGTCAGAAAAGAATAGTACAGATCCCTAAACACCACACTTGGTCCAGCAAAGGAGAAAAAAGTTGAAGACAGGTCTCTCACCTGAGTGTTTCCTAGTGTTAACTAATATTTAAATACCATTTTTAAGAACATTAGTGAGTCTTGTGTAATCTTGCCATTCTCAGATACTAGCAGGAAGAACAGTGGTCTATTAGTCAGCCAGAGGTTTGGATAATCACTATTGAATTTTTAGCTAGATGTTCCTTTTAAAACATGCTTTTGAATGATGTGCCGGAGAAATATTGTTCATTGGTGTGTGGTACCTTTGTAAAGAGATTATGGGCTGGACAATCCAGCATTTTTTTCAGCATTCTTGTCTGCATCATCCCCATTTGTCCTGTTGAAGATGTTGTTTGGACAAACCCTGCCTCCTGTGAAAAACTGCTCAGGTTTTTTGGAAGTGGAATTAGGGTGAGATTTTTCCAATGCTTTTAAGGTTGAGGTATATTAATGCCAAGGGTTAATGCTGTGACTTAAAAAGCAGAAGCATCACTTCTCCTGCAGCAACAAAGCAGCTCAGCAGCCCCTGTTCATTTAAAAAGACTTGATTATATATTGCACTCTATGTCCACCTCTGCAGGTTTTGCCTACAAGGATTGGTATTAGCGGCATTACCTCTACAAAACATGTGTTATCCAGTTCAGTAAAAAATCCACAGTGCTACCTTCTCCAGAAGGTTGTCTCTACTAAGAGGTGAGCAGGCTAGAGAGTGGATTTGCACACAACAGATCTGTAATCCCTGTGGTGGCTGTCAGCCCACTACCACTTGGGATCAAAATGTCCACACTGTGGTTAATAACAGCCAACTTTAGGGTATGTGCTGGTTGAGTGGGCTGTAGTAGGTAGGTCCCGTCTTGGTCTTGCAAAAAGGTCCTCTACTAAGACCCCAGCTGTGCTTGAGCTCCCTCCCTCCTAAAAGCGAGGCATCTGAGTTACATAAACAAGGGGAAAGTCCACATTGAGACATGCCCTGTATGTCTTTTGCTTTTCAGGAAAGCACAACCATATCAAATTGGTAGGTCAAGTACACTTACATAATTTAAGGGAAGGTATTTTTGACAGCAGTGTTTGATTTTAAGCCTGTTTTAGAAATGGTTGGTACCGAGAATGCAGAAAAGCAGCCAGAATTATGTTGTAGTGGTAGTTATGCTAAGAAAATGAGTGATCCAGGTAAATTTGTACTGTAAATCCCTGAACTTGGCCTACTGTCATCTGCATGAGATCTTACTGAGCATTCTGTAAGCATGCATCATTTGGAGCACTTCTGCATTGTATTAGTCCTAATCCTGTTATCCAATACTGCTTTTGCTTTTTAGAGATCCTTGCCTGAGAAAAATAGATTTAAAAATTATTTTAGAAGATGGTTGTCTCTATAACTTAATGAAGCCGCCGTTAAAGATGGTTGTCTGTATATCTTAATGAGTCAGCCATTAAAGCGATTGATTCATTAAGTCTAATACTTGGTGTTAGGCATCTAATCTCATTAGAAATCTAATATCTCTGCTAAAATATTAAACACTTTCATTAATACCTGCCAACAAAATAACTGTAATTGCAAGCAAACCTTTTAATGGTGCTTTCATGATTCCTGGCCAAAATACGTAATTGTTCACAACTGTTGCGCAGTTCTTTTGAAGCACTATGTCCAAAGTTAGCAGCTATGGTTTAGATGCTACCACTTTTCTTTTAAGTGAAAATCACTGCTGGGGCAGGATTCTGCTTAATCATCTCTGTGAGGCCTCTGAAGGATGTGATGGTTAAAGTATTAAGATAGTTATTTATGAATCTCCCGGTAACCTTAAGTTTTGGGGAACTTAGTCCTTTATATGCAAACATTAATTTCTCCTTTTTCAAGAGTAACTGTAACAAGGAGTGAGTGATCTGTCAACTGGCTTCCGAAGCGTCACTTCCAAGGCATTTTCTAAGTGCTGGATCTCAGTCTGAAGACTCCTGTCCTCTAGGATATAGCAAGACTGAAATATCTGATTTTACATGGCTGTGATGCAAATTATTCCATGCAAAAAGTCCAAAACCTGCCCCAAACCCTGCATAAGCTCCTCCGACAAATTGAAATGAAAAAAAAAAAGAAAAGCTTTTATAAAAAAATTAAGTATCTTCAAAAAAAATTAGACTCAGATGCCCCCTACCATGCTTCTGGGTTTGTTCCTTAAATACTAGCAGGCTCTCCACAAACAAATGGCACAGCATGGACTTCAACTCTGAGGCAGATTCTGAATTTCCCAGGTCAGTGGAGGGTTTCTCTGTGGAAGGCTCCCTTGCCTCACGGGTGCTCTCCCTGCGTTGGAGCAGGGGAATTGCACCTCCATTGTTAGGTCCAGGACTGCCTTGCAGTTAAACTGCTGGTTTTCTGAAGTGCTTTGCAATACAGATGGCTACGCAGATCATCTTGAAGATCTGTGTGCTTTTCTGAAGGTGTGGTATAGGGCCATCTTTGAGATTGCTTGAGCCAGAAGTTCATCCTGTAACGGTGGGATTTACAGTCCCACTTAAAAAAGCCTTTGATCGCCAACATTAACTAGTAGTTTTAGCGAAGTTTGCATGGACATGGGGCAGATTATGACTTTTCTCTCTCCTAAACTGCTTCACTTGTTTGATTTTTATACAATGATTTGTTTACAACTGCATGTCAGCCTAGGTTAGAAGGAATGCGGTTGGAAAGTGTGGCAGCTCATCCTGAAGAACTTCAGGAGTC